CCCAGAATTCCCCAGCCAGCCATGCTGGGAGTTCTGGGAGTTGAAGTCCACACATCTTCAAGTGGCCAAGGTTGAGAAACACTGTTGTAAACTGTTGAATTTTTTGATGGAAAAGCAAGTAATAAATATGTAAAATGCACGGCAAAGACTAGTGCGAGCAAGGCTGTTGTAATAACACTTATTTAGCATTTATGCAAAGCTTTAGCTCAAGTAACCCATTGATAAATATAAAGCAAATCAAGATCAGCTTCAGCTGGAGAACTTGGAGAAGGCTAACAAGGAGTATGAAATGATGGCAAAGTCTCCAAGTCTCTGCTCTTAACTGTTTGACTCCCACAGATCCTTTATCTTTCCCCTGATCATCCCATTAAGTTATGAATTGCTGGAGAATGGCATGTGTTTTCTCACCACAGCACAGCTATAGGATCGAGATAGCAACGCCTTTCCAAGTCCCACACAATCCGTTTTCTAAGCATTTCAGCTTGAGTCCTGCTTTCCCGGTCCTAAAAAGAAAGAAAGAAAGAGAGAGAGAGATTGGTGTAGTGGTTAAGGCACAAGGCTAGAAACCAGAAAACCATGGTTTCTAGTCTTGCGTTAGGCACAAAGCTGGTTGGATGATTTGGGGCCAGTCTCTCTCTCACTCAGCCCTGGGGAAAAAACGGCAAAGGAAAACTGCTTCTGAAAATCTTGCTTTGAAGACTACAGGGATTTGTCCAGGTAGTTGTCTGGACACTGACTTGAAGGCATGGAGGAGGAGGAGGAGGAGTGAGGAGGAGGAGTGGGGAGGAGAAGGAGAAGGAGAAGAAGAAGGAGGAGAGAACCCAGTCTGTTCAGGTCTAGAACTCAACAGATCAAGAAACTAGACTGCTCTGTAATAACAAACCAATACACTGACCAAGAATTACATTAGCAAGTTTGTTTTGTAGGTGGACCAGGGGAAAAAAAAATAACAGGGCACTGAAAAAGTAAAAAGAGGCACCAACTAGAGGCAGGGACAGTCCTCCTTCTGCAGGAGGAACAAAATACAGAATTGTAGGGAGCGACTGGTCTTGAAGAGAGCTTGCCATCGCCTAACATTGTCTCTGCATATTTTGCACGCTCGAACTCACAACGGGATGGGTAGCATGATCATCCCAAATCTATGTTCTTCCCTGGCTGCTAGAGAAAAAGGACTTTAGGGGAAAGGAAGCCATTGACTTGATCTAATATGGCAGTCCTCACAGGCTGAGGTATGTGGAAGCTGTGGCAACTGGGACATGGCTGATCCCAGACTCTCATCAGAATTGCCAATGGCGAAGAGTGCTGGGAATTGTAGTTGACCAACATCTGGAGGGCCACGGCTCCGTTCTAAGCAGTCTGGTTCTCCGGCTCTGGCATAATCACCTCTGGGGTATTCAGCTCTCCATCTTCCTCCTCAAAGGCACCGCCAACAATGAAAGCATCTGGGATGTTTTGTCCTCCAGGGGCTAAAATGTTGGCCACCGGCCACTTCTTAGGACGGGGTACGGGTTCTCTCTCACCGCCAAGTTTCAGGGTCCCGTTCTTGAACAGAAAGGGACATTCTTTCTGGAAGAGTCAAAAAGAAGCATTTCTTGAATTCGCATAGTTAAGTCACTCGTATACAATACGTCGTCAAAAAGCTAGCAGTTGTATTCTCACAACATGTTTAGCCATGATGTCAAACTCGGGTTAGTGTTTTGCTTTGCTTGGTGCTTGCACGGACCCCCCCAATTGGTTAGTTGATTATTCACTGAGTTATGCAAGATCAGAAAGTGAGTTAATTCATAACCAAGTTAAATGTCTTCTATGAACTCAGTTATCATATGGTACACAATGAAACCCCTTCATGGATCACTGCCTTGTCGTGGCGAAGGGGCTTGCGTAACTCAGTGAAGCCATGAGCTATACCGTG